AATATTCTCTCTTGTGGATTGCCATTTCTTGTAGATTACTATCTACTATACAGTTATCAAATTTACACTGTTATAAATAAATCGTATATAGGTTTTGAATAATAGATATTTTTTGGTATAAATACTCTATATAGGTATATTCTTATTCGGTATGAAAACACGTATTCATTTAATGATATCCATATGTTTGCTAATTTGTGTCTGTTTCTTATTATGCCTATCAAGTAGTAGAAAAACGAATGAAATCGTTCGACTGTAGTATATCATAAAATCCTAGAACAGACACCGAAACTATATACTTCTAATATATATAAATGATACAATATAAAATATATATAATATAGTTTTTTGCATAATTTCTAGTATTTCTAGTATTAATATAATTTTTTAGATATCTAGAACATCTTACGACATAGGAATTCAAGTTTAGTATTCAAGATATAAGGAACACATTCATGAACTTTTCATCAGTTAATAATTATTTTATATTAAATTTGATTCCGCAGAATACCTAACACACTCACTTATCAAATCGTTCATACTATTTATACATTGTTTGAAGAGCTTAGAAAAAAGTGATTTTAAAATGCACAGAAGTGCTATATAACATTATATTATTTAAACTTAAATGATTTTATGAGATGATGAAAAGCATTGTTTGTCATATAAAAAATATAAAAGGAATTCATAATCAACCAAAAGTGACAATTTGAGAATAGGATATATTGTTATAATTACTGATAAATTCAATCATTTAGATTCAATATAATCGAAACGTTTTATTATAATCACGTTATTTGAAACATGGATTATTAAAGAGTTTAATAAATTAAAGATAGAAGACATTTGAATTATTGATATATAGGGGACTGCTCGCGAAACCTACATAATCGAGCTTGAGGAACTAAAATTAAACACCAGACTTACGAAAATAATCTTTAATGCATACCATTTAAACAAAAAAAGAACGAGAAGTTAAAAAAACACGCAAAATTTTAATTTTTAAAAATTTTCTTTATTATCGCCTTCAAAGTACTCTCCTCCTGCGACAATACATGCATGCCAACGCTTGATGCAATTTTACATACAAGTTTTATAAGCCGCCAAAGGTATGACCTTTAGTTCACGCAACCAATTCTCTTTTATGGCCGCTATGGTCACAAAACGCGTTTCTCACAATGGCAATTTGACTCGGGGGAAGAGAAAAAAGTCACACGGGGCCATATCTGGAGAGTACGGTGCTTAGTTGATGATATTGGTGGAGTTTTTGGCCAAAAACTGCGACACAACCAACGCTGTGTGAACCGGTGCGTTATCGTGGTGTAAAATCCATGAATTTTCCTTCCATAAATCTGGCCTCACGCAAACGACGCATAACGGCAAAATAATACTCTTTATTGACCGTCCGGAAGGAATTCATAGTGCACCACACCACGAATATCGAAAAAAACAGTCAAAATCAAGGTTAGATTTTGGACCGACTTTGGCGTTCTCTTTTCGGTTTCGGCTCACCTTCAAAGCACCATTCGGTCGATTGTTGTTTGGTGGGCATATGAAATTCATAGACCCATGTCTGATCACTAGTTATAATGCGTTCGATAAATGTAGGGTCACTATCTGCGTTGGAAATCATCTCTTTGGCCACATCACAACGAGGTTTTTTTTTGAATGAAATTCAGCTAAAAATCGCCACATGAAAATTTTTCGACTTCTTTGTATGCCATAGACGCCAAACAAAAACTAATCGTACGATATTTTTCGACTTTTTGGTATAGACGGTAAACAAAAACTAATCGTACGATATGCATTAAACTTGAACAGAATGTGTATAATAGCGTTGCCAGCGTGAAAATAAAAAAAATTTAGTGCGGAAATTCCAAAAAACAACGAATAAGTTCTTTATTGGTCACAAGGTATATAACTATCTTTGGCTAAACACTAAACAGTAGATTTGCGAAAATAACCACCATGCATATGTGCATCTTTCGATCAAGTAGCTAGACAGTCAGGAACCTTAGAACTTATGTAAGCAAGGTCACGTAGTGAGATAATCAAAAACTGTGAAAGAAGTGCTTGTAAACAGCAAAGTCAGTTAAAAACCAGAAAGATTGTCTGCTCGATAAGTGAATTAATTGTAATATTTCCTCAGAAGACCGATGAGTAAAATCATAATACACCACTACGCAGTTTCAAGTCTAGGCTGGATTGGAAGACCAAGAATGCAGCTATACAATATTAATTGAGTACATGGTTTACTTATAACATAAATATCGATGTGAGTAATAAGTTGTTGAGTTTGTTGAGTTAATAGATTGTTGAATTTCTTATTGTTGAGATGTATAATAATTCATTTGTATTTACCATTGTAAATACTATTCAATATACAATAAAATACTCCATAAAATTATTTGAATTAGTGGAAAATTTTTAAATACAATACGGACATTAACTAGTCGACATAACGATAATTTCAGCTGAATCTTCTACAGACGATAGATTTAAAAAAATCAAGCATAAATGAACAACGAGCAATGGCTTTAAAGAAAATCTTATTATTACCATAATCACAATTTGAAAGTGATGACTCACAGCCATAAAAGCTTTTAATAGCCATCTTATCTTATTATTTTAAAGTTTTGACATACGCAAGTCATTAATTTAACAAAAGAACAAATAAATTGATTTAGATTTATTGATTATTATTATTATTGATTTTGATAGCAATACCTTTAGAGTAAAAAGTTTCATAAAATACACTTAAAAAAAAACAACCAAATAAGTTATTAAATACTTAAAATTTAATCAACATATATACTAAAATAGCACTATCCTTTAATCAAATCGGAAAGTGTATATTACTAAACAAATATATGTTAACCCTCCCAATATATTATAGAATAATTAAAGAAAAGTTTTATAGATCTTCGTAATTACAAATTTTTTGTTTTTAATAACTGTTTTGCAAGAATCACTAAATTATATTGTAATATTAACGTACATATCTATATTGTAGTTCCAATATGTTTTTGTTATAGAAATACTTTTTTATATGCAACAGGTTCCAAAGACGACATAATCTATGTTGCAGAACCACATATTTATATAGATAATTGCCGGTCATTTTTTCAAGCAGAGAAAATTTCAGAAGCTCTCCTCAGATTACGTCACAAACAACAACTTATCGCAATACATTCTAAATTATCCAGTAGAATTGTTGTTTAGGTTTTATATTAAAGTTTAGACGATTTTTATTTTCTCTGAAGAAAATAAGTGTCTATATACGTATTCTCTACTTTATGTCACAATAAAACATAGTTCTTATATACATTATTAATAATTAGTATTCGACCAGTGGTTAAAATTTAGCTCTTGTTGTCTTACGATTGTACGCAGTAGTGAGCGTACAATTTATTGTGAGCGTGATTTATTATTCTTTTTTATCTAAATACTCTTCTATTAAGTGGTATTGAAAAACTTACATGCAACTCTATCTGAATTTGATGGAGAGGAATTCGCTGCAAAAAAACGAGGTTAAAGCAATTAAGCTGTACTGAATTGACAACAGTCAATTACTGTTAATCTTAAAAAATTCCGTTGTTCTTGGTAACATGACTAATAAATTAAATTTGAGATCACAAGTCTACAAAGACCATCAAGTACATTTAGTAATTAAAATTCGCAAAAGTTAGACAAAAGTATCTTAACAAACTATATGTCCACGTTAATCCATTAGCCAGAAAATTTGCTTCTACAACCACACTCCCGCGCCTAAAATGATCAGACCACATATTTCAAATCCAAACTAACTTACCTAATTATTAAACATTATTGTCATTACTAAGCTTTTTATTTATTTCTACTCTTAAACCTTATTTCTATAAGAATTGGTCTTGCAAAAAAGATGTGATCTCCAAACAATCTATTCATAGAACATGTACCTCTATTATTCACAGCCTAATTATAAATAAGTAGAGGTCCGCTAAATGAGAATTACGTATTACAGTTGAATTGTAATTGTTTATATCTAACATAATTTTGTGACGTAAGAATTTTAAGATTTAAATATTAATTGTCAGTTTCTAATAGAGAAAATTCAATAATATTAACGTCTAAAAGAAAAAAAATATGGACGAATTTTCTTGTATTACTTTACTTAAACAACAGGGAATGGTAGCCATAACAACACCTTTATAAAATTTATCGTCAAATTTTTTATTATTATAAAAATAAATATATTTTTGCATAAAAAACGTAAATGAATCTGTAAATATGTGATGTGTTTGTTAGAATTTACGTTAGTGAACACTTGAACCATGTTTTAGTCATCTTAAACACAGATATATTGTCTCCACTGCTCCACTTTCAAACAAAAACAAAAAAATTTAACTAGTATATTTGTTCAGTTTATTATGTTGTTTAGGTAATATTTATTTAGGCTTATCTGGTGTCGTTATAGGGATATAAACACCTATTCATATAATAGACTTATAATTATTTAAATTAAATTGCATTATCACTCATTACTCCTTAGACTTAGGAAAGTAATTTTACTATATATATATTTAATAATTTGCAATTATTATTTTTACAGTTTGGAGCTCCTATCCTTAACTCATAATAAAAACTACGCAATGAGAAGCGCTTTGGCTTTTATTCGAAGAACAGATTATCTTATCCTGTTTAATGATGGTTGGTTGCTACTTTTAAGCAAAGATTAATTATATTCGTAGAACCATGTTCCATTGCGAACCTAGTACCACACTTATTTCTTTTCCTTAAGTTAGTTGTGTTTATAACCAAAATTATGTTAACACTTGGTACATTAACACTATTGTACTACCTTATATTAAGCCATAACAGAAGGTGAACAATTAAATTCAAGCGATTGTGTAATTGAATTAAATTGTTTTCGTTTTATCTAATAATTTAACCCAATAAAAATTATTATCATGAAATAATTTATACCAATGCGTTAATTAATTATTTTTATAATAACTTACCTTAACCAATGACGTTTTGTTATGCTTGTATGACAACAAATAGCGTCATACTGATCAGCTATCCATACAATCAGTATAATATAAAACGCTGTGGTTGTATCGTTGAAGAATTCAGACATAATAGCTTCCATACCTAAAATCATAGAATACTAATACTTCTTGATAGTAGTTAAAAATATAGAATATTTACCAACTAAAGCTAAAATTACAGTTAAGAGGGGAGCAATTGGAAAACGTGCGGTTACATTAAATTCCAGCATTTGTAATAAATCAACTGATTAAGAAAAGAAAATATTTAATATTACATATTAACGTATTAAAAATAAAATATTAATTAATAATACATACCAATAAACACAAATATTTGATGATGAGAAAAACGTAACAGCATTGATATTGAAAAAGTCTAAAAAATTAATAAACTTCGATAGCATAAACAGTATTAAAATTTTTAGCGCAGTGACTTACGAAAAGCACCATCACAACCAAAGCTGTTGGATAGGAACTCCAAGCGGCCCACCACATTGACACAAATCTATAGTGTTCTCCAGTAATAACATTACGTAGGTACCCTTTATTATCTTCCTTTTCTGCAATAACACGGACTGATGCCATTAGCAAATCGTCATATCTATATGTGATACACAAAAATTAGATAAATTTCAAAACTCATGTATTTTAATATTGTTTACCCTAGTAGTTCCTTAAGTAAAAATTTACTTATTTTATCGCCAAAACATTTGTTATTCATTGGATCTAATTGTACAATACGTACAGGTATATTTAAACGCTTCCGTGTCGCGGGTGACAGCCGCAAATGTCCGTATTCCAAAGAATACTCAACAATGTATTGTTCATCTATAACAAATTTAATGTGATTTCGAAATATATAAACTAGTGACTTGTATATATACCATCATCATTTGCCTCAATAACTTTTTCTGTTTTCTCCGGCACAGCATTTTTCTTTGTCTTTATAGCTTCAGTTTTGAAATAGTATATAAGTGAATCATTCGCATAAGTAATCGTTGGTCGCAAATTATAGCCAGCTCGTGTTAATTTCTTTTGATATAATTTGAGGCGATCATCATTCACTTTTGTTTGTGGACCAATGCCGTAATGACTAAAAATTTGTATTATTTTAAATTTAATAAAAAATATTTATATTTTCATTAAGTAAATTACTAATTGTTTTGTAAGTCTCGTACTAGCTGTTCGTCAGCTTTAGTCTGTTCATATATAGCACGTTGTATATCCAGATTAGGTATAACCTCCACCCTAAAAATAAACATAATCTGAATTATCAAAGCTTTAAGGTCAAGTTTTCAATGCACACTTAAGTTAAGTAACCTTTAAGGGTTCAATATTGGGTATAGAGTCAATTAAAATTTAAAGAAATCTGATTTTAGTGGCATTTTAAAATTGTTCCCAATAATAAAATAACAAATATACCTTAAAACTCCATCCCTTGGCCAATCTTTCACATGCTGTAAGCAAGTCGCAGGATTTTTAATAAATGCAGTATGTATATAAACCAGAGCAGAAAAAAACAATATAGCTTTGATTAAAATAAAATACTCCAAAGCACGCTGTAATGGCCTATAGGATAAAATTGTGATAAAATTAAATAAGTAAAATTAAAATTAAATTAATTTCTTTTGGTTGCTTACTTTGGAAATATTTCTGCATACATAAGTGCAACTTTAAAATAAATGGCATGGAACAAACGATCTCGCATATTCAATAAATTATTCTGAAAGAAGGTATTAAGATAATATTTAGTAATTAATTAAAATAAAATGTATATAAGAAGGAGTAAAGTAATAAAACAGTTTGGTTTATATCTGAATAATTAATCTCAAAAAGGTTATTATATATATGTATATACCACATCATCTTCCATCACATCATTTAGCTCCCTTAATCTCATTTACTACTGAATATGTTTAACTGACGTGGCTATTCTACATTAAAAAGTTTAAGTATATATTAACCGTAATAATTAAAATTAATTAAAAATCATAAAATGTTAGTTATTGTAAAACTTGAGCTCTGGTATTTTGATGAAAATAACCAATTAAATGCTCAACATTAGTTTACAGTCTATCCGATATACTTAATATTGATATTTATATTGACAGTATATTTAATTCAGTAGTTGTTTTGTTTGTCATTTTTTTGTTTAATCAATAATAATAACATTGGCAATATTAATGAGGACACCGCTTTTTATACTAATGATTAAAAATAAAATTTATATATGTAATTCTGCAAAAAAAAAAATATTTTTTTCACTCAAAGATTCTTATAAGATTTTTCGTTGTTGCTTTAATATATATATTAGATGCTATAATTTAATCTTATCAATATTCGCAAATATGTTGTCAAACTTACTTGACCACCAACACGATTGTTAAACCCATTGCCTGCAGCGTTTGCTCCAACATCCACTGGTGGTATTATGGCACCTACATCAGCATTGGCACCACCAGCGGCTCCAGCAGCTGCAGGTACAGGTCCTACCGCCGCATCTACCACGTTTCCAGCATTAGCATTAACATCAGCCATATTTATTAATTAGCAAATTATATGTGAAAAGATTTCCGGGTTGTCTTTTTGGTTTATTCAAAAACTGATAAACCTTGAAGTGATGTTGTTATGACTCCAAGGTATTTCTTTTTGTTTTTTACTATTTGTAATTTTTAGTTATCAATAGTTGGTATCCACTTGACAAACATTTTCTAAAAGTATATGCAATATGTAAGGTATTATTAGTTTATCTACTATTGGTTTTGTTTTTAATTAAAACTGTTATTAGAAGTATGTTTTATAAATTTTATGCATGTTACCTATTTTTGCGTTTTGCTATTTTATACAAAACTACAAAGGTAATTTTTAATTTTATTTTATAAAAATTGATTTTTTGACCGCCTTATTATATTAACATATTTAAGTAAATAAAACTAGAGCTTATTTGTTAACAAACTATTTTGCCATAAATCTGATCAACTTTTTCACGAATTTTGACATTTAATGATTGTCAGATGCAAAACAATGTTTGTTGAACATAGCTATTACTTCATCATATGTTTTACACAATGAACATAGCTGAGTGTGTTCATGGAAAGCATAATGGAATTGAAACTATAAATCAGGTTTTGCTTGTCACATTTTGTACTTTTCATACATAAATTTAATTTTAATAAGTATTTTATATAATATATATACATAATATATATGTAAATAAATAATAAATATATATGAACTGAGTAAATAAGAAAAATGAAAATCTTAGTTCACATTATAATGAAATTATGAATCACTGGAGAATGATTGGAGTGATATAATCAATCTGAACAATCAATCAATCAAGAACAATCTGAGGAAGATAATGATGTCAACAACCACATCCCTTTTAGATCAAGTATCGTTAGAGATTCGATTTGGAATGAATTACAAACAGAAAATAACTTGTATTAAAGTGTTTATTTGTATATTGCTTACTTTTCATTAATTAATTTTATTAATATTGCAATAAAGAACTTAATTCTAATTAACATATTAACATCACATTTTATAAATATATACTTAATTCTATCTTAGCTTTAAAATTACATTATTTAAAAAAATTTTAAATTCTAACTAAACATAAAGACTATAATATTAAAAGTAAATATGTTTTTAACATAATGTGTCCTAATAATAATAATATGTAATATATTAAAATAAGTTTAAAAATAAATAAATAAAATATATTAATTATTTTATTATTAATGTGTTTGTCTGTTATTTTTCAATTTCTATTTCTACTGTTTTGTTTTTCAAAAAACAGCTGTTTTCACCAGACTTCACACAAAGCTGTTCCATGAAAATTTGTGTAAAGAGCGTAATCTGGCACTTTATTTGTGTTACGCTCTCAGTTTGTACTTTACTTCTGTTTTACTCATGGTTTACTATGTGTAGCTCGTGGAACAGACCTAATATTAAATAATTATTAAACTTTTGTACTAATTTTATTGGCAACAATTTTATTTTTAATAAAATACAATTTATTTTTATTTTTATAATTTATTGTTTTAATAAATACAAATTATTTAAATATTTTCTTTTAAATGAGTTAATTAGTCAATGTTAAATAATTTAGAACTTTTCAAATTAGTTGTAACAAAACATTTTATTCTTAATTTTATTGAAATAATTATACGTTCTGTTTTTAGAAATAGTGTCAATAGATATGTTTTTTTAAATTTGTAAACAGCCCTTTTTTTATTGCAGTAGGGGTAAAGCAACGAAAGTCAGCCACAGAGTGAGACTTGATCCCACTAAAACCAATTCTTAGGAATGAATGGAAAAAACTTCCACAACATTGTGGAAACTTCATGCCAGTAATAAAAGAAGAGAGATTGGAACAAGAAAGTTATTACCTAGATTAAGCCTAGATTTATTTATGGGCATAAATTAGGTGTATTGGGAATTCGTGAAGAGGGTGGGGTTATTACGCAAGTGTGGGGATACTAGCGGTAGACTCTGTGATTAGGGCTCTCGTGAAGAGGCGGTTATAGAGAGCGATGACGGATGGTTCAGATTCGAAATAAAAGGAGAGGTGTTGGAATCTTTGATGAAGTCCGAGGGGAAGGTGCTGAGGGGATTGTGGAGCCTGGTGAGATATCTTCGGGCGATTGACAGGAGGAATTCGTCGAGTAATTTTGGCTGAGTCAAAAAAGGCAGAGATGGAAAATGTTTGCCGTCAAGCTTACGCTTGCGCTCGATAAGATGGATTCTTTCCATTTGGGCGGTAGAAATTGCATATCAAATAAAGAAATCGTACGTGAGTAGGGGGCGAATGAGCTATTTATATACTATCAACTTCATTGACAAGATTTAAAAAACAAGCTATATTAAATGTAATACAATCAGATATATACAGTACAGTGTAACTGATGTATTAAAAGAACTTAATCCTAAATAAAGAAACAAAAGAATCTTGTGCTCTTTTGAAATGGTTTGCTTATCCAAGTTATTGAACTTAGCCTAAGAATTGTATTTTCTTTTTAGGTAGTCTAAACAGATACCATTTATTAATGGTATCTTATACTTATTTGAAGAAGATATGGTATTGCTATCTATTATCTTGACACCCATATATTAATATATTATTTAGTACATAAATCTATTACCCTTCAATTTATTTTACTGGCGTCAAGAAATATTGAATTTTAATAATTATATTCGTCTCCAATAGATGGGTTTCTATGCTTAGGTAGTATCGTCTTTCATAATTTCAAATCTAGATTCTTTATAAGTCCTTAAAATTTCTAGTAAATCAGAATGAATCACATTTACAACAGTATATCATAATTCAAGATCCAGCAAGTAGTTTATACAGATTATCATCTTTCTTATAAATCGATTAAATTATAAGCTATATTTTTTCATTTTAAGATACATATCAGGTGTTAATTATTTATTTTTAAAAAGAGATTATAATCAACCCCAACAATGGGGAATTTAAAAAGCAAATTAAATATTTAATTACCATAATTAGGTAATAACGTTAGGATAAGTGACTCGATTATTAATAAAATCCGCGTATATTTAGCCGTAAAATGTCCATTGCAATTTAACATAACCTTTTAATAAAAATACTATTATTCAGTAAAAACAAAAACCTTTATGATGTCAACGTAGTGATGTAATTGGTGCTCGGTTGTATCATTTTCCTCTTCCTTACAACAACTCTAAAATAAATGATTTGTAAGTAACTCGTTCTAATTGGATGTCTACCTAAAATGGTGCTTCGTTCAAACTGCTCTTTTAATGGCAAGTTTCTATCGTTTCTAGGCTAGAACAACTAATAATCTATTAAGATTTTATGGTATCTGTGTCTTTTGATAACTTTATATTTATAAAACGTTTATGTCTGTTAATTAAATAAAAGTTTTTTAAATAAAATAAGTTAATTTTCAAATATACAACCAATTATTATGTAAATTAAATTGAGTTACTAAAGTATATAATAATGCTGATAGTTATCAATATTTAAAAGTAAAAATTACAGCAGAGATACCCCCATTCTAATGATGATGCTCCAGCGAAAAAGGTGTTTGAAATAGCAGTAGGGGCAAGAAACTGCAAGGGAAGACCGCGCTTAATGAACGAGACTGGAGAAGGTTCGTACGCCACAAAGGCGCCTGCAGAGGAAAGCTTCATCAAATCAAAACCCGATTGTGGGTATTGTAAAAAAGTAGAAAAGAGCGTAAGTAAGTAAATAAATATCTTATTAAGTGGTCATTGTAAGGTGTCACTACCTAGTAGTTGTCCACTCACTTTAATTATAAAAAACGTAGAATACCTGAAAAGTACTGGTATTATAGTTATAGATCAGAGTAGATAGAGTATAATACCACTTGTCTGTTTGATAACAACAAGCATTATAGATATTCCCTCTTTGATAAAAGTGATACAGTGAGTTCCTGGTTCATAACACTGGTATCTTTACATCTCTTTTATAAAAAATCTGTGATGTTGCAATGGATTCCATTATTTAAACTTTAATGAGATATATCTTTGCGAGATTGGCTGTGACTGATATTTGTCATCTAAAATATTCATTCTAGAGTCGCACTTTCTTAAGTGTCTGTCCGATATCAATACATATTATAGATACTGCCTGTTTGATCAAAACAAAAAAGTGATATTCAAAATCTAAACATCTTTGCCTCAGAAGAAATTAATCTAGTAATTTGAAAAATTACCCACGTATCGTAATAGATCCACTACTTAAATTTGTATGAATCGCATCCTTTGTAAGACCGGCTGACTGAAATTTGTTATATAAAATAACCTTTTTAGAGTTTCCCTTCCTTAATTGTTTGATATTAACAGCGATTAGAGATATTGCTTGTTTGATTCAAACTACAGTTTCATTTCCTTATCTAAAACAATGGTATCATTACAGTTTCTAAAATTACTGTGATATCGCAATGAATTCACTAATTACGATTTAAATGAACTACAGGGTTATCTTTAACATGAATTTCTAAAATTAGTTAAGTACCGTAATAAATCGAATAAAGATTCAAATGAACTATATCGTACTAGATAAGCTTTCTAAAATGTCTGCGTGATGTCAACAGGAATTGCTTTACTGAAGATTTATTTAATGACTGCATTATTGCAAGAGATCTATTATTTAGATCCATTTAGATAATTATTTATTTAGATTGCATCTCTTTCGAAAATAGTACAGTTACAGCCATTTAAACTATTATAGACCGCGAAAATGTATAGATAAAGCTCTTATAGCTTTAATATGAAAAATGTTTCTATAAAGGTTTGCTGTAATATAAATCTTAAACCTTTAATTGCTTTTTTATCATTGTTACATTTTCCATCCTATTATATGCTTTCTCTGTTGAATATATACATTTGACTTTATTTGTGAGCTGATGTTTTTAAATGTAACAAGAAAAGTAATAGAAACAACATACATGCAAAAATAATGTAAGAAACCACAAATTCGCAACAACAACAATGTTGTTTTGTGCAGTATGGAAGTTTGTATGTACAAAATTCTTTTAAGGGAATAGTGTGAAAAAGTGAACTAATTACTGTAGTTGAGTTTTTGAACATTTATAATTTAAAACTAGTTATTGACTTATACCTAAGTTAACTATTTGTGAGTAGGGTATGTCAGAAAGTATAAAGAAAGGAAGTCCACCTAATAATGATTTAATTACTTTAAAAAATGATTTTGAGAGTTTTTTTTTATTTTTTGCAGTTTATTTAAAATTGTTGTTTTCCATTTAGTTCATAGCAAATTAGTATATGAAATTATACATTTATTTATTTATTTTCATAATAAGCTACATTGAATGTGTTATATTTTAAATTTTGTTTAGTTTTTTGTCTTAAATTTGCTTGACATTGATTGGTGGTTGTGATTTCATTTTTTTTTGTTTTTTTTTTTTGGTTTTTGGTTTTATTAATTTTGTTTTTAAATATAACTTTTAAGCTTAAATTATATCCATAAAGTTGAATATAACTTATAGTTTCATATAGTTTTTATTTTTTTTTGTTTTGTTTTGTTTAAATTGTGTACATTTATTAAATATGCTATGCTTTTCGCTATTAGATTGTTTTGGTTTTGCTTCACTAATTACATTAATTTAAGTTTTCGTATAAATTTTTATAATTGATCTTAGAAAATACATTTTCAATTTTTCTTCTATTCTTTTATAAAAGTTACACACATACTTTTATCTAAAATTTTCCATTTTTATTTGCATTCACAAAAAATCTTGAATTGAATAAATTTAAATTGTTGCTGTGTTGTGGTTTTTTGTGTCTCATAATTATATTCTATAGATGTGGGACTCACAGAAATGAAAGTGGATAGAGGTAATATATATTTAATTTTTAGAAAAAATAAAAGGAATACGTAATTAATAAAAGCACATTTTAAGGCATTTTAATTTCTATTAACGAAAAAATATCATACAGTGATGTTCAGAGCTTTGTAAATCTGGCTGAATATGCTATTGAGATATAACGTATAACATTTGCTTAACGCTTTTGCCATTGAAAATATATTGAGCTAGTGATTCAAGCAAAAAATGTTCTAGAAACTAGAACAAAATTATATTTAAGATTTATGATATTATCATTAGTGTCTGTCCGATATTGCCCTGAAGTAGCATAATAGGTCATATACTACATAGCAAAAATCAAACTTTTATGTTTATATACATGATAAGCAAAACGATAAAAACATTTTCAAGTACGAGCAAAACTTCTAACTGTTAGGATGCGAACATCAATATAATACTAAAAGATAACAATTGTCCATAATAATGAACTCAAAGTTGTGATGAGGAGTCGAACTAGACTAACCATTGTCTAAGAAATTTATATATTATAAATTATGACAAAATCTTCTTTTTAGTTACCAATTGGGATTCATAGTTCTCTCGTTGAAAAAAAATTCTTGACTTTATCTTTTACATCAACCATTTCAGGATAAACAGAGCATTACAAACAAAACAAAATAAAATCCAATATTTGTGAGCACTTGAAGAGGTTCCACTGATATGAAATGTATTAAAACGTGGTCTTCATACTGTCTAGTTTCTGTTTTTGTTTACTGCCATCGTTAGGTGATAAAGCAATAGGTTTGCAGTTCAATTCTTCGTAGTTTCTTGTTTTTCTAAAGAACATAGAAATTCTATTTAATTTTTCATTTCATTTTAATCTCACATTTAAATTGTTTTTATATTTTAACTCACAGTTGGCTAACACACACATTTAATTCGTTTTTGTTAAAATTCTATAATATTTATATTTTATATTGATGTGTATAAATATTATATATATTTTTTTTCAATTTTAAACTAAAACAGTGTAAAATTAAAATAATTTTTATTTTTTTGCTATAGAAAAAAAAATTAAAATGATGCTTGCAAATTAATGCCTATTTTAGTTTCTTAGTTTCATCGCAGCAGCAAATTATCTTTATTTAAATTTAATTATTATTATTATTTTTCTCATATATAATTCTATATATATATTGACAGTCACAGGCTTAAGTGAAGCATGCCTCTTTATATATATGTATATAGTATATAATTGTGTATATAAAGTTTGTTATATACTAAATATTAATTTAAGTTTTGTTTTAAAAAATTTAAAAGCGTCTTTGTACAAAATAATTATCATAATTAAACGAAACATTAAACTAATGTCAAGAGACTTGACCATGGATGGCGTTTCAAAGTATGCCAGTTTCTACATTGTGTGACGTCCCCAATGTGTTAGGATCAAAATTGAGTTTGAGTTCACCCCCCAATATTATTTCTGATATGCATCCAACAATGCCACTTGTGTATTTCCGGCGCGTAAAATAGCTTACATCAGGCATTCCTCCTGCAGGATGAAATAAGCAATAATTATTAGAAAAGATTATCATCTAGTCATCATTTAACAATTTTAATGATACTGTTATGTGTACATATGCAGGAATAATCTCTTACCAACATAAAGTCCAGTGTCTGTATTCAATTGACGCAATTTACCAGGTGAACGTTGTATGGTTGATTTCCTGCCATCAACCTCCAGGTATCCTTCCTGTGAGTCCCTGCTGTGCATAGAATTTGGAGTTGCAACATAAAAAACTTTTTTTCGGTAAAAATTAATTCAACATACCTAATAGCACGAATGCGATGCCACAAACCATCACTGACTTTAGTGGTATTAAATTTGATGTCAACTTCACCCGAACCCAAATTGTAACGCAAGTGTAAGTAGCTTAAAAAATATAATAAAAAATAGTTACTATTAAATACAGATATATTGAGATAGATATATATTATATTAATAAAAATAAGTATAATAAAATTATTTAGTTTCTTTTATGAACATAAAATAGTCTTGAGCTTGAGCCCACTAGTGTGGATAAGACCGCAACCCATTAAAACAGTAAGTGTCCTTCTCCATAGTTTCAACAATACCCTAATAGCTCTAAGCTTTATTCAAATAACGGATAAAGAAATAATAGAACGAAATTTCAAACTCAAAAGTTTTGAGTGCCCTTTTCGATACTTACGTCCTATGTTAGGCACATAGAATGTGGCTATTTGTTTATAGTACTATAAGGCAGCGTTAAGATAACGTAAAAATGGGATTCTTTTTTCGAGCAGTTGAGGTTGCGATCCAACTTACTGTCACTAACTTAAAGCTGTTTATGAAGCGAATAAAACTAATAAAACAAAAGCTAATAAAATAATCCTGATGATGCCACTGATCTTCGTATATAGAATACATTGACACCTTTCTCAATAAACTAATGTTTTAATGTTACAAACTACCATATTTAGTTTCTTAAACATGAGAGAAAAAAGTTTTAGAGATTAGCAAATGTAAACCAAGGTACATATAGTATGTGAGGCTGTAATCAATTATCCATAATGCTGTCACCTTCACAATATTGCAGCAGTTGTTTGCTGATATGGATATATTCTGGAATACGAACTTCAGAAGTGTGTGCAATAAATCTTGAAAAGTCTTTATAATGTCAATGGCAGTTTTTTTGTTAAAAACTGCTTTAAACTGTTTTAAACTTCTTCAAAACTTTATATAATAATCTATCTCTATTTAAAAAAATTTAAAGGTATTTTCAAAACTCACCCATCTTCAATACCCAATGCCAAAAAGTCGTCATTCTCTTCTGTAGAAGTTTGACGACCAGACCAGAGTATAACACCATTGTATGAATGGGTTTTTATACGCAAATTCAAATCAATGTGATAGCTAATAACCTGACTCATGGTTTCTGCATCATTGTAGTGAAAGTAGCTATCCTCTCCAGCAAAGCAGGCTCCAAAATTCTTCCGTACACCAATATGACTCTCGTGGTCTGCGGACAAATCTAGTTTTTTCAGTAAACTCCAATCAGTGTGCGTTTGTGGTGGTGGTGTACGTTGCGTTTTCTCTTCTACGATTTCCTTAGCAACAGGCTCCAGGAGATCATCGTGTTTGTTATCATCATCATCTGCTTGCCTTACGCTATCATAATCATATTCACTAATTACCAATTTGGGTGCTTTTGCATGTTGTGCAGGTTTATTTGCCATTATACGTTGCATATCCTGCGTCAATTGTTTGCGGTGATATGATTCTGTGTCGTCGTTATCATCGAATATGGTTTCATCCACAATGAATGGCTCGGATTCAGTTTCACTTGGTTCAACATTTGAATCATAATTATTATCATTGGTATGATCATCATCGTTATCAGTGTCATCATAGTTGCTGTTATTGTTGTTGTAATAGTCTGAAGGATGGTCATCATCCATGTCCGTTGTTTCAAAATCGAAATTATCGTCAAATGTTAGAATATCACTTTCGGGATTTGTTTGAAAACTTTCGTAATGTGTTGGTAACTTGCTTAATTTGAAAGGAATTGTGTAATGCTTCTGGTAGGGGTCATCCTTGATGCCATAATAACCGTCTTGGCTTTTATCGTTTTGTTGTTGGTGTTTTATTGATTGATGGTCTCTTTTGTTGGTGTTTTTGTTTTCGTTTCGTTGTTGTAATTTTGCATTGTTGCGTTGTCCTTGTTCATTGTGCTCGTACTTCTTGTGCATGCCGTGCACATCACGGAATATAATATCATCCTCGATGTCATCGAAGTCGACTCTGTGGTGTATTGATGTTGTTGGAGTTGGAGTTGATGCAGTTGTGGTAGTCGTGGTGGTTGTCGTAGTATCAGCTTTAGTTGTGGTGGTTGTTGCTAAAGTTGTTTTACCAATTTTGTGCAAATATCTTGCGTGTTCTTTGTTGTTGTGTATCTTTGTTTGCTTGGCGTATGATTTCTTAGTTTTTGTGTTCTGTCCGTTTACAAAATGCTTTGTCTCGAGTGATTTGCTTTTATTCTTAGCCTTATTCAATTGTAATTCCTCAAGCGGCACTTCAGCTGCTTTATTGCATTGTGCGTTGAAGGCATTGCAACGGCACTCGTAGTTCTCCATTTGAGGGATGCATTCAGCGAAGGGTCCACATGGACGTGCAACACAAGCATGCGGACAATTGCCAATGTTTGTGCCACCCAAAGCTTCGGAAATGATTGACAAAGAGTGTTCATTTATGTCAATCTGGAATTAAAGAATTTTAATTATTCATTTTATGATACGATAATCAGACAAGAAAAGTATATTTATATTAATTTTTAACTTAAGTTGTAATAATTGCTGATTATGGTTGTTCAGATAAAAAATAATTGCTTATTTGAAAAAAAACATAAATAATTTAGTATTATTAATCAGGAAATAGTTTAAATAACTTTAATATGATTTGTTAATAAATATGATAATATAATAATATGAGTTAATAATACAATAAATTCAACAATTTCTAAGACATTCATATGTAATATAAGTATTTTTCATTAGTAATATATGTATGTGATAAATTTATTTAATCACAAAATTTTTTAAATGTATACCTTTTGTATGCACCCAATGAAAAACGGTTTATATTTCAAATCCAAAGGTAACTTGTCAACGTGATTAACACCTCCCACAAACAGGTTTTCAGACAGAGAAAGATGCCAAAATCCGTTTGAAGATATAGTCATTACTTCAGGTGTTTGATCAACCTAATTGAATAAATTTAATATTATTATATATGTTATATTTCATAATATTAAATAAATTATATTTTAAATGCTGTTGAATTATAAATAAATTATATTTTAAATGCTGTTGAATTATTTTACACACAAAATGTTAAATCAAATTAAAAAAAAGATACAACAAAAATTAAATAAAATAAAATCAAAATCACAAAAGAAACAAAAAAAAAATAAAAATGTATAATATATTAAAACAAAAAATTATGTGAAATCATATGAAATAATAAAACTACTGTATATGACCGTCAATGAAATTTACACATAATTAGTAATATAATAATAATTTAAAAAATTAAAAAAAATAAACTAAGAAAAATTAAATAATTAATTTAAATTAATTTAATTAATAATAAAACAATTTTTTTTGTTATAATTTCACTGCAGTTCGATAAAAACCTCTTTACAGTAAATAATAGTTTATATTAAGAATTTAATTACTTTTTTTTAACTCCAAAGTACAAAATGATAATTCATTAAAAGATTTAGGCGAAAAATAAAATAACTATTATTTAAATATATTATAACAAAATAAAAAATCACTAAATAGTTATAATTTATTATAATGAATGTAATAATAGTATGCATAACATTATATACATCATATAAAATATTGTTTAACAATCATTTAACAGAAAATTTTGCATTTCAAACATAAATAAGTAAGCATTCACACTATATTAAATAAAATAAAAAAATAAAATACTAATAAACAAATGTTACTAAAAAATATTGTTGTTATAAAAAAATATTATTAAATTTAGGTCCAAAAAACAAGTTAAATAATAAACACATATTAAAAAGAAACAAAAATTTGTACAAATTTAGTCATTAAAATTAAAATTTATATTTAAAAACGTTGAACATCTAAAATTTAAATTAAATTAATATAAAAACAATATATATATTTTTAAAGATAACTTTAGATAACATTTTTTAAGCTAAAATAAAAAGATTTTTGAGATAACATACTTTAAGCACTGCCAAACGAGCAGTTCTGGAAATTTTAATCGTATGCCATTGACCAGTAGATATTTGATATTCACTCCTGTTACATAGAACATAATTTTATATATAGTTTATGAATTATTATACACAAATACACTAACCTAACAACAGCCGGACCACTACCCAAATCAAATGTAAATTCCACGAAACCATCATTTAAAGACAATGCAATAAAGTCACCATGCTTCTTAGGTCCTGAATATAAAATCAAACCATCTGGTTGTTCTGGTTTAAGAATTACCTGCGTTCATACATAAAGATAAACATATTTAAAGGTTTTAATTTTCAACAATGCTTATTTTAAATAGTTCTATTGTTAGTTAAATTTTTAGCTCACCTTCAGCTCTAACCAGATAAGTGCTTTGTCACCAAGTGGTGCATATCGCAAATACGAAGAACCGTTAAATGCTGGTACCTATCGATTAATATAGAGGCAATTATAAATATTATATAAAACAATGGTATATGTTGATATTTACTTGTAAGTCCATACGTATCTCACATAAATCCCCTACATAACCAATGGGGCATAAACAAACTGCACCTTGATCCGATGGCAAACATTTGCCCCCATGTTGACATGGATAAGTATAGCATTTATCTGATATGCAATCATCTGTGACAAAAAAAAACAATGTTTTTTAAAGTATTTTTTATTTAACTTTATATTATATTAAATAAACAAATAAAATTAATTAATTATACATTTTGAGATTAACTAAAATTAATGCAACTCCATATAATTAAAGCAATAGTGATGGACCTACCAATATCAAATCCTTTTACCACATCACCCAACGGATGCTCATCAAACTTATATTCATGTTCATTAGCCACAAATCTACGTATGCAACCCATAAAACCACTAAATACTGGCAATCGTTTGGATAAGCCAGTTATGTTTCCAGTACCACCCAAGAAAACAGGTTCTCGGAATGTTATGCGAGAGAAAAGACCCTATAAAGTGTAATATTAATTAATTATGTTCGTTTTATTCTGTCAAAAGTAACAAACATTAGAGCGTCCTTGCACTTTAGTGCCATGATTTAAAACCAACCAAGCATCCCAACGATGACGATAAATTATAACTGAATTCCATTCATTTAATAAAATGGTTTCACGTGAACGTACACTACCAACTCCAGAACCACAATCGAACCTAATAGTGTAGATGCGTTAGAAAATACTTGAAAAAGATATATTTATAATAATTTTTACCAAAACTCCACAAATCCTTTATTAAGTAGCAGTGCCATGAAATCACCGGTTAAATCGTCTCTTTCACCACTTAATAAAATGATACCATCAAATGATTCAGGACGAAATTCAATCCTTATCTAAAAATGAAAGAAAAATAATAAACTTTTTATTGTGAAAATTTAATTTATTCACTTCTTATATCTTTTATAAATTTTTTAATTTATAATAAAAAATATTGAGTGTTATTATAATTAATTAAACATTTAAAATCTTTGGTTCTTGTGATTCTTTGATTCGAAATATCTATGGTTCCACTGTGAAAAAAATTATGGATTAATTTTCAGTGAATAGGTCTCTTTAATTCTTAATACCTTGGATTGACAATTTTCATTTAAGTCGTAAGATTTGTAATTCTCCAAAAAATCAATAACTAATATTTAAATAACATTATTCTCACAGTTCCCAAGACTTTCCTTTAGTACATTTATCATGTTTACTATATGCATCGAATAGCCCAATAAATAATACTCCCGCAAGAATATGGAATGTTGCGTCCATTTGCTGCTAGTGGTCATAATGAACACTTTATGTACTATTTTTATTTGTTTGTTATAGACTTGTGTACTTTTCCTTAAGCTCTTTTCCTAGTATGGTTTATGGTTCATATACCTATTATTATTTTTGTTGAAGACAATTCAAGTTTTTTATTATCATAAATTAAAATATGATTATAAAATAAACATATTAATTGAAATATGATTCGACTGGAAATGATCATATTATTGAAACTGCCAAGACTCAATTTCAGCAAAACTATAGAGTACGATATATGTTTATTAACAAAAAAATATTATTATATCTAAATAAAACGAAGTAGTTTGAAACTCTATTACTTGGCAATAGTTGACGTAGAGATGATCAGAATATAGAGGCTATTATTGTAGATATTTCATAAAGTTATATTCGCCAATAATTTGTTGATTGATTTTCAGGTCTCCTATTATCGCCATCGCGTTAGTTCGAACCCACCGTCAACAGAGCCCAGATATGATTAAGCAAGACACCAATTATTTCTACTACTGGAACATCGAAGCAATTTAACGTTATTCATCGCTAACAACAAATTGAGTCTAACAACGCATTAGGCCATCGTTTTTTTTTTTTGTCATAATATATCAGACTATTCCTTATTTTCGCGAACCATCATAAAGGTACATAAATAGAAAAAAGACACATAAAGGATCTTATTTCAAAAATTTGCTTAACGAGTTAGAATTCGTCCAGCTAAAAAATTATAAAAAATCGGAAAGGTCGGCTTTTATTCTGTTGTTAAAATAACTTGATAGACACCTAAGTTATGTATTTTCCGAAATACTTTCTGTGTTTTAATATTCATTTAACTATAAAAGTTTCTGTAATATCCATCAGTTATATTCGTAGATTCCCTTTATCGAGTGGAAATTAAAGTAATAATCTTAGTCAACGTAGTTCTTCCTTTCGATTAAAATTTGATTGACCTTTTTAAAGTTCCTTCCGCTACTACTAATGTACACATATATATGGAATAGATTGAAGTTTAAAGTTTATGTCTATGAGTTTACTTATTGATCACTTCTGTTATTATTTTAATAAGAGTATTTCATATTGAAATTAATATAAAGTTATATATCTCAATACCTCATATATAATATATTTCGTATTAATAAAAATTAAAAATTAATAAAATTTATACAAACCTGTACGTGTTTATATGCACCACGTAATGCTGGGAAAGCTAACCATGATTTTTTCGAGAACTTCGGTACACGTATCTTCGATTCTATAAAACAGATTATATTTTATACATAATAAAATATATGATAATAAATAAATTATTAAAAGAAGAACATTGAAATTTTTTTTTAACGTCACCAAATTAATACTTTTAAAAGGATATTAATTTTAAATATGTTAATTTAACTGAGTTTTTCAAAAATGACAACCGAGACTCAAAACTTCAAAATTTTAATAATTACTATAAATATTTGAAATACCTAATCAAATTAGTTTGTTATGGAATTAATATATAATTTAAATCACAAAAATAAAAAGTATTTATAAAATAAATATAATGAATATAAGTTCATGATGGAATAATATGTGATTCAAGTCCTCAAAGTCAAGAATTTAGACCAGGAAAGGAGAAGCAGAAAATGGTGAAAAGGTGGAGATCTAGTGACAGATCAACAGAGCATGGCTTGCAACGCCAATATAAAAGAAATGGTCCGAGAAGTAATACAAAAGTTGTTCCGGGAGGAAATAAGTCTCTCTGAAGAGAGAATGCTTTAGACTGTATACTACATATTAATATGTTAGAAAGTCGGGCACACAATTTCGATAACCGTCGGAAAAAACTAAATAAAAAGTGCTTTAAAACAAAGAACAAATTTTAAATACTTTTAAATGGAATGTTATATTATAATAAATAAAATCTTTATTATATAAAGGATAAATTTCTTAAAATTTGTTTATATTTTTATTTAATTCAACAATAAGATGAAATATATCAAAAAAAAAAAAAACATTTAACAATCATTCTCACCTTCTGCACAATTCGAACCCGTCTTGCCAAAAGGACACAAGCACCTCATCTTTTCTTCAGTATTATCACAAATGCCATCTAAACCACAATCCAAATTGCAGTTATCACTAATTTAAATAAAAAAAATTTATATATTTTTTTTTTATTTATAAATAGCTTTTAATTTAATTTTAAATTTGAATTTAAATATGAAAAGTCTTTACCTATTAACCCACGCAGAGCTTTCATTATACATATTTGATATGTTTGATTTTTCTGATATTTTATTATATTGACCAACAATAGCTTCATTGACTGGACCACCTGCGGTTGCCGTTTTATCCTTATTGGTATAAATGATTTTTTTATTGCTTTTATTATTAGTAATCTTTGATATTATATGTTGCTGTGAATCGGTGTTGCTTAACAACTGATTCTGATATGTTTGTTGACTGATTGGTCTTAAGTTTAATTGATTATTATTGACATCGTCATATATTGACATATCCTGCTTGCTATAGTAATCATCGTCGATGTTGACACCATTCATTATAGCATCCGAATTGATGAATTCAGGTTTTGTAATTGCTGCGCTTGTTGTTGCTGCTCTGTGAATAGGTTCCTGCTGTTGTTGGTGCTTGACATTTATCTTTTTCAGCTTCTTATCGAGAAGAAATTTAATAGGTTTTGAAGTTGTTATCACAACTCGTTTCTCTTCATTTTTCGCATTGCTTGCTTCGATTGAAGTTGGCATTTCCTTCATTTTAAACTCAGGTACTTCTTGGCTATTGCTATTGTATTCTTGCTGCTGTTCACTGTTGAAATTAATACTTTCGGATGATATGTAATAATCATTGGAATTGACCTTTTGTTGCTGTGCAAACCGTTCGAGTTCATCATCGCTATAAAACGTTGCATCCTCCTCATCAGAAGCAGACGCAAAGGATGTGCCTGATGCTAGTTGCGATGAAGATGAATAGGAATATGCTGATGTAAGTTGATTATCACGTTCATTATCGTTAGCTAATTTAGCACTGAACGACGCGCCCTTCTGATAAAGCACATCTTCGTCTGATTTTGAGTGCCCATCAGATGTCGATGTTGAATTTATAACTAAAATTTTTGTACAAAAAAAATTATTTAAATGAAAACTACTATAGTTTTTTTTTCATTTGTTTTAAAAATATGAAGAAATGCAAGCAAAAATTGCTTTTACCTTGACAGCTATATCCGTTTTTATTAAGTTCATATCCTTCGATACAATCGCATTCATACATGCCATCATGAATTTCATAGCATAGCTGCTCGCAAGGACTTGTGTGACCACAGTGGCCTGTAATAGCAAAATTAAACAAATTATGGCTCGCTATTGCATTGTGATTAGGACTTCGATTAACTTAATAGTTGGCTTATGGTTGTTTACCCTCGCAATATAAATATCATGAAAGCATGTATGCATACATGTAATATTTCATTTTACATCAAATTAAGGAGTGGTTGGGTTTTTTTTTCTTAATTTATTCACTTTTTTTTATGTTATTATCTAAATGACTTGAGTCACGCATTTGAGTTTTTTATATTGGAAAAGACCTTGTAATTTTTACATAAAAGCTTTTTATATACTTCAGATTTACTCAAGTACATATCCTCGTATTCTCGTATCCTACTTGTGATTGGGATAGTAGCTCATTAATAATTCCAAAAGGAGATTTCGTAAAAGGAGGAAGTTATCAAAATAAATGAATAAATTAAAAACACATTTTTTCAAATGCTTTCTAAACAAAAATAAAAACCTTGAAATCAGAAATATATTTATTTTATTAAAACGTGGATACATTTATCCAAATCGATATCGTAAAATTTTTAAGGAAAAATTGATTGGATAGGTCAAAAGTATTTAGACACAATGAAGAGTTTTTACAGATATCAAAGATTTGTAAATAATAAAATATAATAATGAAAATTCATTTATTTAACCACATATCTATAAAATCACAATAATTCGAACGAACGAGGTAATGTATTTTATAGAAATCACATTTGGAATAATTTAACAAGTGGTTATTGCTAATCTGGAAACATATATATGTATATAAAATAATAAACCTATTGCATGTTTAGTCAGAAAACTAAGGACTAAAAAAACTTAAAAGACTGAAGATTAATACACGAGTCGGATGGACTTGTAGTTTGAATTTCACATTATAACTCACAAACTAAGATATTTGATAAGAAAATTATCGCGAATATTTATTTTAAACTTATTTATTTAAAATTTGAATCGTTAAGTTTTATTCATTCCTATTATTGTTCTTACAAATTCCATTTAAAAGATTAAGTTATTTTCATACCATAGATAAGATGTAATCCCTAATTAATATTAAATGGTGTTTACACTCATATTGTTAAAAGTAATTATAGCTAAACTTTGCAAACACATAGTATGTGAATTGTATATATACATAAATATAATTTTATTAAAAATTTATATATAATTGTGTTGCTAAATGATGTCTTAATTTATGTTGAAGTTGGATATTTTGTGTTTTTGTCTTTATTTTACCGATATGTATTTCTCATTTTAAGTATCCTCTTCAATTCTATGTGTTTATACGAAAATGTTAATATCGAAATCTAAATTAAAACGGCACTTTGTAAAATTTAATTAAACAGAATATGAAACAAAACTATACAGTGACCCAATAATCCTATTGGTCTAAAAGGCCATACATATTGATAATTCTATTTCTTCTATATCTGCTTATGGTAGGAATCTCATTTTCATTGCTTTCTGGCATCGGTATATCAATAAACAAACATTGAACGAGCTCTCGAACATGAGATTAACTGTAGTTTCGGTAAATACTCCTATGACTGAAATCAAATAACATCATAATTCTCCGAATATGAGATGTACATTAATTAAAAATTTCTAATAAGGATGCTAGAAAATAATTCCATATCATTGAATCTCATATCGACGCAACGGTAAACTACAAGTATGCAAACAATCTAATAATAAATGAAGAGATATTTTCGATATAAGTTTTACTCTATGTTTTGCATTTGTAGAATTATTGTTAGTATCTATAAAAATACTAAGTGTTTTTTGTTGGATTTTGCACCAAATTTTTAATAAAAAAACAGAATTTTAATTAGGCTTTTGTTTTTAATTTGAACCAAATATTAAAACTAACTTTTATTAGTTATTAAAATCAAAAGAGCATAACAACAAGCTTCTATAAAAATTCTAAATTTATAATAATAATTCTTTCAAGCATATAATTAGTAGTATGTAATCTCAATTTATTCAATCAATTAATATTTATTTTTACGACATTTCAAATAAACCAGTTGGATTATATGACAACTATGTCAGATTAAACTATGACCTTTGACTCCTTCCGTGACCCTAGTTTTATGGTCGCAATTGACTCAAAACGACTTCTTTAAAATGGCAATTTTAATTTCCGACACAGAAAATAGTCGCATAGTGTTTTTTGATGCGCAAAGACAGTGTTGAAGCCAAAAAAAGCATTATAGAAACTCTGCAAACACTAAATTAACCCATATTGACTGTTCTGCTGAATTAAAACACGATCACACAATCATCGATTATACTGAATACCCACTGGTTGCCCACAATAGGTTGTGGTTCCAGAAAATATAAGAAAGTCCGCAAAATAGCTTAGAAGTACCGTAAACCGAAGTTACAGTGTTTGGTGTTGTTAAGAAGATCGAGACTAGACTTTAAACTTTACTCTTGTGGAATCACCTGAATAACTCATTATCATAAAAACAATAGTTTAATTTAATGAATTACACTTTAAATTGCTCCATGACCGCATACTGTATTATTTAAATCAGGCTCCAAGCCTTTACTAGCTTATTGCAGACATCAGAAGAATACTCCAGGAAAAGAAATTTAGTTTCTTATTATTATTAAATAATAAGTTGTAAATACACCCGGAACTAATAGATCTATTGTGCGCCTAAAGGCTTAACTAAAACAATTCAAGACTATTTATAAATATATTCTGATGTTTCATTCTCCTCATGACAGAGTCGATCGGAATCACTTTCTACTGCACCCATATTCTATGTGATAATTGAGTCTAAAGTGTTCTGTAAGATGTTCAGTGTAAATTTTATCATCGTTTTTACTAAGGTTAACGATATCATCAACTTTGATGTGTTCAGGATTTATGAATCTATTTTCTCCAGTGTTCAAGTAGATGTTGTTTTTCCCGTTTACATAGTAAGTTATTAAATCTGGTTTAAATAAAGAAGTCATTGAAATGATTGACTGAAACAGAAGCCTATTTTGATAACAAAGCCTAATTGTTGTGCATCGACAAGTCACAGGATCATCAAAATGAAGGTATGACTTTTGAAGAAAAGTATGTCAATAAGAATAAAGTCGAGTGTCTAAAAAAATTTCTTTTTCTTGACTAAACTGGAGACTTACTGAGTCACTCGGAGTACTTTAACAATCTGGGCATATCGTTGACATCATGAAAACTGGCACTAAGTTTTTTCTTTGTCAAATTTTTTTACAAAAGATGGAAAGACTCAACGATATGCTGGCATCTGTAAGCAATTTGCCCACGCTTCAATAAAAGAGAATCAAATTCTCTCATCGGAATGCTTCGTAGAAATATCAGTCTTGTAGTACGTATATTTACAGGTCATTGAATTCTAGGTAACCATGGTAGGAGACTAAATTTCCCTTTCAATCATACTTGCCACAGTTGTGGAGAGGAAAAGCGCCTACCATCCACTTTGTTTCTGTTCAGCACATGCGCAGTGCTGCCTTATCACTTTAGGGGCTTTTTTTGAGGATCTTGACAAACTGCAAGACCTCCATCTGAATATCATTATAAGCTTTGCCCAAGGTTTTGAGTGGTTCTAACCCTTTTTTCTTTGAAATCACCGGTATAACCTCATTTAAACTATATATTGATTTATTTACATTTTTATACATATAATTTTTATTTTTCTAATGTCTGATGTTGAGCGTTTTCCGGGTTAGTGTATCTGGACACTTTTACTCTTTGATAACTGGGGGGTTTCCGCAGAGTTCCAATAAACTCACTGATTCTTCATAAACTTCGTGATTATTAAATGTCTGATCTAAGATCTGCGTACCACCCCGTGCGGTTAGTCGCTACTCTGAGATTAGATTGTGCTGGGTAGGGCAGCCTTTCGGTTTTTGCATATAGCTTCAGGGCTCTGTCCCTTATGTATTTTTTGACCGGAATTTCTATTTTTATGAAATATATTTACGCAATATGAAAAATAACGCCTGCTGCTCAAATATAATAAGTTTTATGAGAGTTTATGAAACTATAAGTTCTGGATACTTTAATAATTAAATGTAAATAGAAAAGACAATTAAAAATATTACAAGACAATATTTATATTATAAGAATAGGTAATTTTAGAAGATAATAATATTTATATTACAAGAAAAGGTAATTTTAGAAGATTACCTTCTTATTGCAATTAAATTTCAGTTTGTTATTCAAAATCCTTACGTAAATAAATCTCTTTACTTATCGAAATTAAAACATAAATTAGTAAAATAATTCAAAATTATTAAATTTTAATTATATTAATTTTGTGATATCTGTGCACACTCCCCCTTTCCAAACATCAGTGTTGCCCTCATAACTTCATTGTGCTTGGAATGAAACCATAATAAATTTGCCAATAATTAAATACGCTTGTGATATGCAATAATATTATAGTAGCATAAATCCTCATAAACAGACAAGTAGACAGTGATCGGAGGAGGCATTGTTTGGGCCGAGTTAGTAGGTGAACATACAAATATATTTGTCTAAATATTTAGAGGTAAACGTGTGTAAATATTTGCACAAATAAATTCAAATTTTTGAATGTGTAAAATATTTGAATGATAAAATACTTTTAATTGAATACTTAATTATTTCAAAACGAACTGATAAATATGCAAAAAAGCAACTGCCTTGGAAGCGCTTGTTGAACTAATACCTAAAATCATTGATATTCGAAATTCCTCAATTTGCATTATTCAGAACTGAAGAGCATTTCTTTGTTCAATTTGTTAGCTTGTTTAAACGTACGTTTGAGGATGTGTACGTGTTTGTTGATATAACAATTATTTGAGCTTACTAATAAATTATGATTATGCTCATTAATGTCAGAACATTAAAACGCACTTAATTATTAGTACAAACAAACAGACGCAGCAGTGCGAGTGTGTCAATGCATCCGTACTTGGGGCCGTCAGTAACAGAGCCAGCCACTCGTACGGATTCGTACGGATGTGAATTTTTGAATTTTTGAAATTTTTCGATTATTATTTTTTGTCGAATAAATCAAAATTCAATTACCTTGAAAAGCAGCTTCCATGGTAATTTCCGCTTCCGCACTCTTCCCAGTTGCCAAAATAGTCACAAGTATGAAAGCATGCATCAGCATATTATTGTTTTTAGTTCGGTTCTCCTTCATGTTCGAAACTGGATGGATGGTGTATCGATGCTACTGACAGGAACTGCGAATGTCGCAGTGTTGATGCCTCCGTTGATTATGATAATGACAATGAACGGTGTGCGATGTGCGGTGGAAATGGGAATGAAGTTGCGATGATGATTTAAAAATTCAACTGTAAAAGTTTATTAATCCAGAAGGACATTCCTCTAAAGCAGGCATCGAGCTTTTTATTTTTCTGAAATAAAAATAATTAGGTTATAAATTTTATGTAGCAATTTCATTTCGTAGATTCTCTTAAATTTATACTTTTCAGATATTTGTTCTCTCAAATTTTTAGATGAAAATCAGTTTCTTTTTAATTTAAAATTTATTAGTTTTTTTATATCCAAAATCTAAACTCTGTACTAAACAAAATTTAATTTCGTTACTCGTTAGTAACGTTATTCGTTAGTACAATTCGTTAGTATAATTCGTTAGTATAAGTTTCAGAAAAAAAGTGTATTTATATTTGGATTTGAAAGAAAATAAAAAATCCATGATTTTTAAATTAATATTTTCATTTTTTAGCACGTTTTCCGACAGAATGAATAAAAAAATTCAATTAATTTTTATTAAAATAATTATTGACAAATTTAATTACGAAATAACACATCCGCGTAATGTATTTACTCGATTTTAATTTAAATTTACCTTTCATACTTTTACAGATTTTTATAATAAATATGTGTATATATATATAAACTGTTGATTGGTGTTGAATATTGATATTATAGATATGGAGCGATGTGTAAGTACAACAGTTAAGAAAAATAACAACAAGAATATATGGGAATATGGAATATATATCAAATTTAATTATTCATAAACAATTTTTGAAACTAAAACTAAAGACTATATCAAAGTCTTTATAAAGTCGGCATAAGTGAATCATGTAGTAAAATTAGTATGACCATAATCTAATCTATAATCTAATTTATAAACAAGAATAATAAAATCATGCAATAAATTATATCTCTACAATAAAATAATATTGAAATTTAACAATTAAAAATTAAAAAATATAGTTAATTAACTAAATTATTTCACAGGTTTATGATTTCAATCTAATACAACACAGCAAGTCAATTTGTTAATGAACTTTCTAGTTAATTAACAAAACTCCAAATTCGAAAATACAAGTCAACTACAGCTTTGGGTCAATTGGTTAATGAACGTTGACTCTGAGCTTCAAATTTGGTACGGCCCTTCATATGCAACTATGAAGGACCGTACCAAATTAGACCGTCTAAAAAAATTATTTATAAATAATTAAATGATAGGTATTTGATAATACTCGAAACAGGTGTAGAATTAGCCAAGAAATTAATTAATTAAAAATAATAAAAAAAATTTCTATTGTTGGAATTCACTACTGTCCGATAAAAGCCTCTCTATTGAAAACAATAGTTCATATTAAAAATTAAGTTCCTTTCGTCAGAATTTATATTTAAAATCAATTTAAAATAAATATATCATTATGCATAAAAAATATTTCCAAAAACACCACAAATAATGAGTATTTGAGAATACTGGACACAGCTGTATAGTTAGTTTAAGTAATTTAAAAAATAAAATTTTATTGCTGCAATTTGACCAATTTACTAATAAAATTTACTAATATCTCATAAATGAATTTAAAAAAAGTTTTATTTATAAATATAATTTTTAATTAAGTTTTTTATTCATCCATTCACCTGATTGTCAAAACAGTAGAGTCTGAACAGACTGGCAACCTCATTGGAACATTGTTTTGCTTTCAACGCTGAACATACACAATGGTTTTAATAGTGTGAGATGGGGACTGACATTCTCGATATGGTAAAAAACGAATTCAAAGTTCTCCGGTATCTGATGAATTAAACGTAAACTATTTGGAAAAACGTGTGCTAATTTATAACACTCGCAATGAACCAAAAGAAAATCGAATCACATTAGGAGCAGCGTAAGGATCTGTTCTCGGACTTAAACTGTGGGATGATAATGACAATAGTGTCTTAGAATTGGAAATGCTAAATAATATATACTAGGTGGCATTTGTAGACAACTTATCCGCAATGATAAGGGGTCGACACACAGTAGATACGTAGTAGAATGCTCGACAGACATGAATAAGGTAATGTTATGAACGCAGGTATGATTAGATAATCACAGACTCAAACTCGCAGCGGAGAAAACGTAGATGGTTTTACTTACAAGGAAGTACATGCAACTAAGATCCGAAATCAGAGTAATTCAGAGCAATACTATAATTCTACAGAAAACGGTGAAATATTTAGGCCTTCGACTAGACTTCAAAATAATATTCTGAGGCCAGATAGAGGAAGCGGTAACTAAAGTTGAAAAAGCCACAGCAGCATTGAATAAACTTATGGCAAATATAAAAGAACACACAAAGACAAAATGACAGCTCCTTATAATGACGGTGAACTGGAATTTCCTGTATGGAAGGTGAGATATAGGTGGATGCACTACAAGCACAATACCGCGTCTGACAATATCCCCATTCATCTGTAGGCTCAACAACAAAATGCATATTACCAAGCGATACATATGGGGACCAACAATATCGACAGACTATCGATTATGCGCCAGATTATAGCAGTATGGTAGCAACGTTATGATTCAGGTAATTGTGAACGATTTACAGCAATGCTGATCCTGGAGCTCAAAGACCAGCTTACAACGGATTTTATAGAGCTCAATTACTACCTCACTTAGTTCCTATCTGGTCATGGATACTTCAACAGCCAACTCTATCGCATATGCAAAGTCGAGTCACCAAATTGTATATATTATGGAGCTGAGGATGATAACGCGGCGCACACGTTCTTTGACTTCAATAAGTGGTTACCCGAAAGAATAGAACAGTGAGAAAAAATGATTGAAAACAAATAAAACTGGGATCGCATAGCAATATTTGGTAAAAAGATGCTTAGGTTGAAACAAGTAGACCTCGACAGAAGGCAACACAAGCAAGTAGTTGTATCACGCCAAGACGAAGTGCAAGGCTAGTCATCTAAACCAATAGCGTGGCCTGAACGCAGATCACACTGATGTAAGAATGCCTAATAGAGTCTCCATATAGGGTCGAAGTAATACTAACATAGTCACGGGGTAAAACAAAGCCTTTACAAATGAGTGAATTATGGTCAGTGCGTAGGCTTTTCACACTCACCGCTGAACAAAAAAGAAACAGAAAAGCTCAACTAATCGAATATCACCAAATATTCAACAATGCTCTGAATACATTTGTTGCTTAAATAGTTCCTATATCCGTATAATTTTTTAAATCTCAAGTCAAGTTTATTTTAAGTTTAACACGTTTAAAGTTTAACTTAAAAAAAAAATTATTTTCTTGTTATATTTCCTTGATATTCAGTATTCACACTTAAAAAACTTAATATTGATATACTTTAGGTTAATCAGACGTATCTTACCAAGTCGGTAACTCTGTTATCGGTAAAGTATTAAAATGACAAACGTTTTAACGTCCATTTTAAATTCTTTATCGGTAAAGTTGCAAAATTGAACTACTAAAACTAGTGAACAAAAAAAAATAAACACTACATTATCATGGTGTAGTGCTCATGTCCGAAACACATCAAATAATTTTTAGTGCACAAAAAACAAGCAACCACAAACAGTACACTGAAAATGTTCCTTCAGGATGTCAGTAGAAATCTTTTGTCTTCTGTGTCCATAAAACTTTTGTTTTCATCGTAGAATACATTTTTCTGAAAACAGATTTCGGAGGATATCAAATCAGATGACTACGGAAAGTGTTTGAAAGTTAAAATTTTTAGTCAAAATAGAACATATGTTATCGTCACTTAAACGCAAAAACATCTTTTTATCCAAATGCCATTAAATATCTATAGTGCATCAGTAGAAGATTTGTATTATCTATGTAATATGTTATGTATGTAATATCATATATGCAAATATATACTTACACTCTAAATATCTATTTTACAAAAACCGGTTGATTGTGGAACCCACCTTGTATTTTCAAAATATATACAAAAGTAGAATGTTGAAATAGGAGTTGATTTTTTAACTTGTTTAGTCGGTCTGAATACCACTTTTTGTTAAAACAGATTAAAAGACTTAAATGTAACAGTCTGAATATAGTTTCAGTGTTATTGTGGAGCTAAATAGTCCTTTAATTTTGTGTTATAGAAAAATGCTATACTAATTACTAGTTCTATAGTTCTACTAGCCTATACCACGGGACTAATTCTGTCCCGTGTTATAAGCTGACAATATTACCACTTTTATGATAAAATTGTGATAATTACTAAAAATTTGCTTTGGTACCAAAGATCGGACCTTATGTGAATTTTAACAGCTCACCCGTAAAACTGGGCTATTATAATTTGTATATTCTAATCAATTATGTTAATATTAGGTATTACCTGTTATTTAATACTTGTTATAACTAAAATACATTAGTATACATGCTTTATTATATATGGAAAATGTCGACTTTTTTCTTTAATTCTTGTTTATTAGTACAATGATAAAATAAATTAATCACTTCATTTAAACTTCTATAATGTCATTTTGAGATAATTTGATAAAATTTAGTATTTAGTTAGGTTCAGTTTATAGTTTCCTTAAGATATATGTTTAGTAGAGCTAGAACCGGTTTCCTTAAGATATATGATTAGTAAAGCTAGAACCGGTAATTAATATATGCTATGTATATTGTAACTTACAATTTGTAAGTCGCAGTTCAGTTTCTTTTAAGACATAAAGATTCTATCAGGAATTGAGTACAAAATGTTTGATTTTGAAATAATTTTTTGAGTAAGTATTGCAAAATATTTTATGGATTCTTCAATTTTACTTGTATAGAAAAGTTGAAGATGCCGTACCTTATCAAAGTGCTTCAATAAGTAAGTTGAAAATAGATAAGCAAACTTTTCTGCAATATTGTGTCCAGATCAGATAATCAGGTTAGACGGGTGCAAAAATAAATGCATACGTTCATAATTTTTCCGAAAAAAATTAAAAATGCGGCGATAATGATAATTTAGTTAATTAATTCTTCATTAATTTATATTTTATAATTCTATCACTATCAGCATTATTAATATTGTTTGTTGGTATATGAAAAATAGTTTATTTATAATGTAATTTTAAAATAATGTTGTACAAAGAAATATATACTAAAATTTTTGTCTAT